TACAGCGTAACATGTCATCAATAACAAAATAATGTTTTTTAGGGCGAAGGCAGATACCATGTTCCACAGCAAATAAGCATTGTCACTGAACAAAGCAGAGATCCTGCGCTTTGATAAATTCGTTGTATTCTGTTGTCATAATGGCCACAGTGCAATGATAGGGATTTGTACAACCTGCACCACCTTTACTAACTGACTATCGAAATAACTTAGATCGATAATACTGAAGTTCCTGTATGCTTTCACGAATATCATCTAAAGCTCGATGGGTACACTTCTTTTGTGGCGCCATGGAAAACTCGTCCGGATACCATCTTCTTGCGAGCTGGATAAAGTGAATATTACCGATGCTAAATAAACTATGGGATACCCTCACCTCCTTTACAGTAGAAACATCAACAGTACGGTAATGAAGATGCTCAGCCAGACGAGGCATATATTTCTTTATGAAGCTAAAGAAAATTCACAGGTTTGAGTGAAAGATTGTTTTTAAGTGAAGTCAAACCATCTGTCGGCGCTCACACTGTTTCCTGCTAATGGACATTCTCCTTTTTCAGTCTCCTTCTCCAAAAACCGCAAAACCTGGAGAAGTTTTCCGAACAAAATTAATACAAGACAATTCAAGCCTGGTTTGACCGTTGCAATGGTCACCAACCTTTTCTTCCGCCTCTGGAAGAGTCACAGTGCTTTCTTGGATCTTCTTCAAAAGGCCGTTCTTAGTGAACATCTGTTTTGACCATTCTTCCATTTTGGCCAGTACATTTTCTGGTTGATATATCACTATATCTGGGCCTTCAGCAACAATCTGAATCCATAACAGTAAAGAATAACCCAGTAGTAGGCAAGCTCAGGCCAAAACTCACATTTAGATCCTTGTCAGTGACAATAGTTGCTATTTCAACTAACGTTTGTTTTTCATAATCGAGTCCAGTCATTTCACAGTCAATCCATATTAGTCTACCCGCCAGTCCGCTACCAGAGCTTGACATTTTTCGAACAAAAGCAGGTAAAGCCCTCAACATGATGAACTGCTTAACAACACGAGAATGCTTATCATAGAATTTTACATATAAACTCAATAATGATCAGATGATCTGCTTACCGCAAGCAGTCTTTACATGTGTTACTTCTACAAAGATATATGCACAGACAGAATTATGCATGGAGATCAGAAAGCTTCAAACTTTATCATAAATATTATATACATCTTTTCACAGAGAGATCATTCAAATATCCACTACTAAAAATCAGAGGCCTTCGGCTTGGCAGAATACGAAGGAGCATATGAAAAAA